GAGAATGTTCACACACATACAAAAAAATCAATAAAACGCATAATGCTTCCCCGCGAGGAGGCCAAGCAGGAAACTTGACAAGCAATGGAATTTTGACAACTCAGGTAAAATGGTGTGGCACCACAGTACTACGCCAACATGATGCAATACATTACAGCCACCCTCACGTTCAACTTCACAAGCATGCTCCGCTCACTCTTGTACTCAATCTTGCACCCACTCACACACAGACACACAAAGACTCTCAACTTTCTTAGACACTCTCTCAGAAACAAAAACACAAACCTACACGCTCTCTCACGCGCTTTCTCACACGCACTCTCTCGCACACTCCCACGCGCACTTTCACGCGGACTCTCACGCGCTCTCTCACGCGCTCCCTCACGCGCACTCTCACGCGCACTCGCACGCGCACTCTCACGCACACTCTCACGCCCTATCTCACTCGCTCCCTCACGCGTCTCTCGCGCGCTCACTCATGCGCACTCTCATGCGCTCACTCACGCGCACTCTCACGCGCTCACTCAAGCGCACTCTCACGCGCCCTCTCAAGCGCTCTCTCACGCGCTCCCTCACCACGCGGCCTTTCATGCGCTTCCTCCCCTGCCCTCTCACGCGGCCTCTCACGCGCTCCCTCACCTGCCCTCTCACGCGGCCTCTCACGCGCTCCCTCACCTGCCCTCTCACGCAGCCTCTCATGCGCACTCTCACGCGCACACGCACTGTCACACACTCTCTCACGCGCACTCTCACGCGCTCTCTCACACGCACTCTCTCGCACACTCACGCGCACTTTCACGCGGACTCTCACGCGCTCTCTCACGCGCTCCCTCACGCGCTCTCTCACGCGCACTCTCACGCGCACTCTCACGCCCTATCTCACTCGCTCCCTCACGCGTCTCTCGCGCGCTCACTCGCGCACACTCTCACGTGCTCACTCACGCGCACTCTCACGTGCCCTCTCACGCACCCTCTCACGCGCTCTCTCACGCGCTCTCTCACGCGCTCACACAGACACACAAAGACTCTCAACTTTCTTAGACACTCTCTCAGAAACAAACACACAAACCTACCCGCTCTCTCACGCGCTTTCTCACACGCACTCTCTCGCACACTCCCACGCGCACTTTCACGCGGACTCTCACGCGCTCTCTCACGCGCTCCCTCACGCGCTCTCTCACGCGCACTCTCACGCGCACTCTCACGCCCTATCTCACGCGCTCACTCACGCGCACTCTCACGCGCTCACTCACGCGCACTCTCACGCGCTCTCTCAAGCGCTCTCTCACGCGCTCCCTCACCACGCGGCCTCTCATGCGCTTCCTCCCCTGCCCTCTCACACGGCCTCTCACGCGCTCCCTCACCTGCCCTCTCACGCAGCCTCTCATGCGCACTCTCACGCGCACACGCACTGTCACACACTCTCTCACGCGCACTCTCACGCGCTCTCTCACACGCACTCTCTCGCACACTCTCACGCGCACTTTCACGCGGAATCTCACGCACTCTCTCACGCGCTCCCTCACGCGCTCTCTCACGCGCACTCTCACGCGCACTCTCACGCCCTATCTCACTCGCTCCCTCACGCGTCTCTCGCGCGCTCACTCGCGCGCACTCTCACGCGCTCACTCACGCGCACTCTCACGCGCTCCCTCACCACGCGGCCTCTCATGCGCTTCCTCCCCTGCCCTCTCACGCGCTCTCTCACGCGCTCCCCCACCTGCCCTACATTTGGCACGGCGCCATCGCGCCAGCGCCATCGCGCAAGGCGCCAGCGTGCACGGCGCCAGCGCGCACGGCGCCAGCGCGCACGGCGCCATCGCGCACGGCGCCAGCGCGCAAGGCGCCAGCGCGCAAGGCGCCAGCGTGCACGGCGCCAGCGCGCAAGGCGCCAGCGCGCAAGGCGCCAGCGCGCACGGCGCCAGCGCGCACGGCGCCAGCGCGCAAGGCGCCAGCGCGCACGGCGCCAGCGCGCACGGCGCCAGCGCGCAAGGCGCCAGCGCGCACGGCGCCAGCGCGCATAGGCGCCAGCGCGCAAGGAGCCAGCGCGTTAGGAGCCAGCGCGCACGGCGCCAGCTCGCACGGCGCCAGCGCGCACGGCGCCAGCGCGTACGGCGCCAGCGCGCAAGGCGCCAGCGCGCAAGGCGCCAGCGCATTAGGCGCCAGCGCGTTAGGCGCCAGCGCGCAAGGCGCCAGCGTGCAAGGCGCCAGCACGCACGGCGCCAGCGCGCACGGCGCCAGCGCATTAGGCGCCAGCGCGTTAGGCGCCAGCGCGTTAGGCGCCAGCGCGCACGGCGCCAGCCCGCACGGCGCCAGCGCGCACGGCGCCATCGCGCACGGCGCCAGCGGGCAAGGCGCCAGCGCGCAAGGCGCCAGCGTGCACGGCGCCAGCGCGCACTGCGCCAGCGCGAACGGCGCCAGCGCGCATAGGCGCCAGCGCGCAAGGCGCCAGCGCCCAAACAGCCAGTGCGCTAGGCGCCAGCGCGTTAGGCGCCAACGCTATACGCGCCAGCGTGCTAGTTCCCGCGCGAACTCTATCCTCGCTCGCCCTCTCTCCCTCTCTCTCCAGAGAACTTACGAAAAAATGTACGAAAGTAAATTATTTTTTCAAAGAGGAGGAGAAATGGACCGGGAAAGGACAACGTACCTGAGAATCACGGTGCCTCAGAGGTAGATTCGCGCTCGCCCACCAGCTCGCGCTCCTGCAGCTGCTGTCAGTGGCGACGGCGGGATGAGCGGGGGAGGCGACGGTGGGATGGGAGGGGGGGGGGGGGGGACGGCAGGCTAAGGGATACGACAGCAGGCTACGAGGGAGGCGATGGCGGGACAGGAGGGAGAAGGTGGGGTGGCAGAAGGAGGCAACGGCGGTGAGAGGGAGAGGCGATGGCGAGAAAACAAAACAGGAGAGGTGGATGGCTAGATGGGTGGTGGTTGCGACGGCAGGATGAGAGGCAAGGAGGGAGGTGAAGGTTGGGGTTTGAGGAAGTTGCAACAAGGTGCCACAAATTGAAGCTGCTTGGAGCCGAACAAAATCTGGAAGTTGGGCCAACTGCCAAAAAAGTCAAGCCATCAGTAAAAGTGGCATGAAAAATTTCTATATCGAGTCTAAAACAAACACTAGGGGTCAAATTGCAAACCAGTCAAAATTTGGGCACCGGGTAAATAAAAACAATCAGACATCTAGATTTGGAAGCTAGTGTCACGTGAAACACTGTAGACGCATAATGACATTACATATCCATCCAAGAACCTGATACAGCAATACATGATAAGTTACTTACAAACATTAGTGCTGGAATAATATTACATTGTTTCTGAATCGTTACATATTTCTAAATCAAAACAAAAACAAGAATTTGAATATAACTTGATCCGACAATACTAACAAACAGTAATTTTGTTTTGATAAGTAGGAAGTAATTGGGTGTATTGCTTGAAATAAATACTACGTATCTCGTCAAAATATTAAAACTAAAGGCGTAAGTAACTACGCAACCCTTCCGACGTTAACGTCGAATCTTGTCTTGAAATACTTGGGTAGCCTTGGCCGTATTCAGAGCAACACCACCACGCATACTGGTATGCTTGCGGAAAAGAAGACCCGCCATTATGCTCTCCTTGAAAGCGAGAGCGTCGTTATTTCTTTCTTGGTTCTCGCTCGTCCGCCAGCTTTGCTAGTGTCGCTTGTTGTTCGCTTAGCCCACACTGTACTGCTATTTGCAGTTCGCTAGCCATTCGCTTACTAGCCGACCTAGATTTGGGATGCCTCAGACACGAGACCGATTTCCAACCTCTTGCGGAGAGCGCGGCGTTTTCGCTTGGTCGAGCAATATGCATCTCTGCGCGTCCGCCCGTCCTCCTCCTAGGCCCACCCTCCTCGCTTTCTCCGCGTCGACCCGATCACTTCTCGTTCAGCGAAATCGCCTGGTTGTCCACGGACGCGCCCTCGAAGGTCTACCTGCTCCTCCCCGCACCTTCTCCGCTCACCTCACGCTTCTCTTCCCTCGAAGCGCCCTTTTCATCTCAATGCGGCACCACGTCTGTTCGCACCCAGTCCCACTCTCTTCCACCCTATTCGACTGCCCCCCTTCGATCTTCTCTCGTTTTGTCTCTCCTTCCTTTGCTCCGCCACTTCACATGGCGCGGAAAGAATTAAAAAAAGCAATGAAACAGGTACATGCGTAAGGCTAACGATGTCTCAAAGCTCCCCCTTGTGTTTGTGGTTTTTTTAGGGTTTTCTCATATATATATGACTTTGTGTGCGTGCACAGAAATTTGTTCAACAACTCGTTTCAAGGCTCTCTTGCTGCCCTCTCTACACTCACTCGTCTCCAACACCCGTGAGACCCCCTCACCTCATCGCACCTCACCTTAATGCTCTCCCTCACCTCCAGCACCTGTGTGACCCTCTTGTATTACTGATTTCTCGCTGACCTGTTACCCTCGCCCTACTCAACCCACTGTCCCCAGCAACCAACCAATCCCCCCCACTCCCCCCATTGGCCCCACTTTCCCTCGGTGCTGCAACCTGGCGAATGAGACGCTGAAAGGAACCATCCCAGGAAAGCATTTTTGAGGCGCCTCAATAGCTCCAGCCTCCCAAATTCCCCCACTCCCCCAATCGCTGGCAGCAGCAGCAGCAGCAACAGCATCACTGGCAGCAGCAGCAGCACCACTGGCAGCAGCAGCCATTGTGTGCCCAGGTCCCCCCACCTTCTTCCGCTCCTCCCTTCCTTACCTTCCCCTTCCCCTCCCGCCCCTCCTTTGTGCTTTCCCCTCCCCCCCCCCCTCACAACACCACCTTTTCGCTCATCATCATGTGCTGGATGACTTATATCTGAACCTCGTTGACATGTTCTATTCAATCAATCAACTGCGATGAGGGGAATGAGGCATCAACGGGGGCAATGAGACATTTAAGGGATAAGCAGCGATAAGGGAGATGTGGAAGTTAAGGGGGAATCGACAACGGGGGGATGAGGGAGCAACGGGGGAGGTAGCTACAGGGTGGATGAGGGAGCAGAGGGGCAGGCAGCGAAGGGGGGAATGGGGAAGCAGAGGGGGAGGCAGCGATGGGGGGAATGGGGAAGCATCGGGGTAGGCAGCGATGGGGGGGATGGGGGAGCATCGGGGGAGGCAGCGACGGGGGGAATGGGGCAGTAGCTGGGGAGGCAGCGTCGGGGGGATCTGACAGCTAAAGTGGGGGCATCAACGGGGGGAGGAGGGAGCTGTTGGGGAGGCATCGACGGGGGGATGAGGGAGGAGTGGGGCCGGCAGCGATGGGGGAAATGAGACGGGGGGGTAGCAACGAGGGAGATGAGGGAGCAGAGGGGGAGGAAATGCTGGGGGATGTGGAAGCAGAGGGGAAGGCAGGCAGTGATGGGCACTTTCTACTGCTATGATGCTCCACTGCTGCTTGAGGCTCCCCGCCCCCCCCTGCACTATATAGGGAAGTGCATGTTCCAAGTTTTTGGAAGCCGATAGGTTGCCTATGTGGGCAAGGCACAAGGATGAGGCGTTTTCGTTGGCTTTATCCTGTAGGGCTGGGATGTACCTCTGATATTTCGTGTTTGATTTGCGCCTGTGTGACTGTTGAGTAATTTTGATCGTAAAAGTGATTCACAACCTAAAAAGCACGTAATAAAATGCCATGCTGCTAGTAGGCAAACGTGACAATACAAAATGCTGCCTATAATGAGTGGATGTTCTTATAACGGTTGCTGTTCGCATTGTCACAAATGTTATTTCTTCATTTACACGTTTATACTTATATTTGTTGTGTTTGTTACTTACTACAAAATTGTTACACAACCTAATACAAAAACGAGTTACCCCCTGTCGTGGCTCCCCTAGTGGCGGAAAGGAATGTTCTCAGCAAGTTGTGGGTTTCCAAAAAAAATGCGCGTGGTATGCTCGAACAATCCCACAGCAATGATCCACTTAATGTCACAAGTATGTTCCGTGTGGCATACTTTGAGGTATGTTTTAACATACTTTTTACACACTTTTTTGGGGCCGAAATTTTGTGACGGATTCCTTGCCCGCTAACGGCTTCGCCGAGGAGCGACGCGGCGAATCCGAGCATCGCCACGCGGCCGACGAAGAGCTCGTTCGCTTTTGTGAAGCCGAAGCCGCCGGATGTGCCGAAAATACCATCTTCTGTGCGAAGTTGCTTCGTCACGGGAGTGGCTTTAGCGGGGACGGCGGATTTGTTGAAGCCCAGGAGGGCAGTGACACCGAGCCTGCAGGGAGCTACGGCGGAAGCGGCTGCTAAGGGACGGGCTGAGAGCGAAGCGTGTTAGAATACTAGGAAGTGATGATGTCATTAGGTGAAGGGGGGGTACAAGAAGAATGTCGAGAGAAATATTGTACCCCCTAGTGCTAACCCCCATACAGCCTAGATAACCTAAACATGCATATATTGTTTGACACACCCCCATAGGCGAAATGGGGGATAGCCAGAGCAAGCAAAAGTCACAAGACCAGACAAGAGAAGAAACAAAACACAGCTCAGGGTGGATCACAAAGTCACCACACACTCTGAGCACAAGTAAGAGGCCACAAGGCCAGTTCACATGCAGAGATGTATATGCAGCAAAGCACAGTGATCACTACCTAACAAGAGCAAGCATGCAGGTATATATGTATAGATCACAGTACAAGCAAAGTCTACAGCAAGTGAGAAAACGTGGGCACAAGGCCTAACAGAGTGCAGAAACGCTGATGATCACCAGACGGAAGCGCCTTGGTGAATATATCAGCTGTGTTGGCCCGAGTGGCCACGTGAGCAAGACGAAGCTGACCACGCTGCTGCAACTCTCGAGCCAGGAAGTAACGCAGAGCGATGTGCTTCGTTCTGTGCTCCAGTCTGTGCTCCTGACACAAGGCAATGACGGCCTTGTTGTCGACGTACAGCACTGGAGGAGAACGAGGCCGCTCTCCCAAGTCGGTCAGCAGGTAGGTGAGCCAGCGTAACTCCTGTGCAGCCATGGCTGTGGCGTAGATCTCAGCCTCACAACTGGAGCTGAGAACTGAAGACGAGCGTGTAGAACGCCAAGAGACCGAACCAGAGCCAAGGCTGAAGGTGTAACCCTGTGACGACCGCTGTGTAGCCTGGTCGTCAACCCAAGAAGCGTCTGAGTGCCCAGTGAGGACAACGTCGCTCCGTCCTCCAAGCACGAGCCCCATGCCCGATGTACTGCACAAGTAGCGTAGTACCCTCTTAGCAGCATCCATGTGCACCTTTCGCTGCCGACCAGGAGCCACGTAGCGAGCCAGAAGGCCAAGAGGGTACGCAAGGTCAGGACGAGTGCAGGTCATCAGGTACATGAGGCAGCCCACTAGCTCTGGATAAGGACCACTCGGCTCTACGGACTCGTCCGAAGGTGGAGCTGAGAGCGAGTGACCTGTAGCCAGAGGAGTGTGCTGTGCCGAGGACCAGGTGAAGCCGAAGCGCTGAAGGACCTGCTGCACCATGTGTGACTGAGTCAGTGTGATGGTGCGGCGTGCTCTGTCCCGGGTGATCCGCAAGCCAAGATAGCTTGTCAGCTCACCCAGGTCTGTGCACGTGTGTCTCTTCTGCAGCTCCGACTTCACCAGGGCGAGAGCCTCAGTGTCAGCAGTGGCAAAGACCAAGTCGTCGACGTACACGAGGATGTAGAACGGCGGCAGCGAAGTGTCGGTGCGCAGAAACAGCGACGGGTCAGCAGTCGACGGAGCAAACCCAAGAGCCGCAAGTGTCGTCCTCAGTGTGTCGTGCCACTCACGTGGCGCCTGGCGGAGACCGTAGACCGGCCGCCTGAGGCTCCACTGGGTACCAGGAGGGAACGACCCAGTGAAGCCAGGTGGGCGGCGCAGCCAGATCTCCTCGTGCAGGCTGCCCTGTAAGAAGGCTGTGCTGAAGTCAAGAGAGTGAAGCTCGTAGTCACGCTGTGCGGCAACGTGCAGCAGCACCCGAAGAGTGGTCATCTTCGGGGTGGGGGAGAAGGTCTGGAAGAAGTCTACTCCCTCTCGCTGACTGAAACCTCGTGCAACGTAATGCGCCTTGAAGGCAGGCGGAGAACCTGGCGGCCGCTTCACCCTGAAAATCCACATGCCACTGACGATGTTCGCCCCAGGTGGGGGAACCTCGTCGACGTAGGTGCCTGTGGACTTCCAGGATGCCATCTCTGCGTCCATGGCTGTCTGCCACTGAGAGGAGTACTCACCCGCGATCGCCTCAGCGTAAGAGCGCGGGGTCGGGATGTCTGGAGCATCCGGGTCTCCCTCAGGGGCAAGCAGCATGGACACGAGATGAGGCGCAGCGGCTGCAAGACACTCAAGGTCCTCCTGCCTGTCCTCAAGGACGTCCGTGCCAAGAGCACACTCACCCCCGACGGACGGAGGACAGACAGACTCAGACTCAGCAACAAGACTAGCGGCGTAGTCTAGACGACAGGCAGCAGCAAAGTCAACAAGCTCAGCAACTAAGGCAGATGTAGCAGCAGACTCAAACGACGGGTCAGTGACAACAGTGGCTAGCAGACGCGTGACAGTAGGGTGCTCAGCACGAAACCGGTCAGACTCGGGGTCCGCAACGATAGGCAGAGAAGACGCAAGAGGGGACGGCAGAGGAACACGCTGCGGAGGAGAGGAAGGACGACGGATTACGAGGTGGGTGTCGGGGACAGCCGACAGACGCGGACGAGGAACACGACGATCGGAACGACCAGAACAGACAGGCGAGACAGGACGCGACGCAGGCTCACGACGCTCAGTAAGATCCCCTAGCTGCTCAGTGTAAGGAGAAGGAGCAGGCAGCGGTGAGCCAGGCTGTAACGGAAGACCAGTAGACGAAGGGAGACTAAGAACCTGGCGAAGCACAGAGTCAGGCGGTGGCTGAGACGACGGAGACGGTGGAGCGAAGAACAGGCGCGGCTGTGCAGTGACACCAGCACCAGCAGCTCCAGTACCCCAAGCAGCTCCAGCACCTCCAGCAGTCCCTGAACCCTCAGCGCCAGCTCCTCCAGGACCAGCTCCACCAACAGGAGCACCCAGAACCGGCACCTCCAGTCCCAGGGTCTCCAGCCTCAGTGCCTCCAGCAGCAGCACCCGCAGGCTCAGCACCTCCTGCAGCTCCAGAACCCTCAGCGCCAGCTCCTCCAAGACCAGCTCCACCAACAGCAGCACCCCCAGAACCGGCACCTCCAGTCCCAGGGTCTCCAGCCTCAGTGCCTCCACCAGCAGCACCCTCAGGCTCAGCACCTCCAGCCCCAGCAGCTCCAGTACCTCCAGTACGAGCACCTCCGGGACCAGCACCACTCCCAGCTCCAGTGACGGCAGCAGAAGTACCTCCAGCGGCAGAGCCCCGAGCTCCAGAAGCGCGACCCTGACGGCGACCGTACCAGTCGTGCAGCTGCTGCGAGGTGAGAGGCATACGCGGACGAAGGCGGCTACTCCAAGGAAGCCGCGCAACAGCAGACTCAGAACCGTCAGCGCCAGAACCCGCAGCAGCTCCAGAACCTCCAGCGCCAGCACCCTCAGCAGCTCCAGAACCTCCAGCTCCAGCGCCACCAGCGCCAGCACCTCCAGCAGCTCCAGAACCTCCAGCTCCAGCACCCTCAGCAGCTCCAGAACCCCCAGCAGAAACAACTCCAGTGGCAGAGTCACCAGCTCCAGCACCTCCCGCAGCAGGGCCTCTAGCTCCAGCAGCGCGACCCTGACGGTCAGCGTACCACTCAAGCAGCTGCTGTGGGGAGAGAGGGAGTCGACGACGAGAGTGCAGCGGTGAGGCACCAGCGGAGCGACTACGGAGACGGCCGCTCCAGGGAGACTGCTCAGCAGACGCCTCAGCGCCCCCAGGCTCACCACCCCCAGACTCCTCACACCTAGGCTCAGCACCTGCAGTCTCCGCACCCCCAGGCTCCGCACCTCCAGGCTCCGCACCCCCAGGCTCAGCACCCCCAGAAGCAGCACCCCGAGCAGGACCACCCTCAGCAGGACCCGAGTCACCAGTGACCTCAACCGGCGCAGTCAAGGGAGGAGGGTCTACCTGAGACACACCTGAAGGAGCAGGACCGGGAGCGGGGAGGGGGTCTACCTGGGGAGCACCTGGAGCGAGGAAGAGCGGCGGGGGGGGGAGAGGGGCAGTGCGGTAGGGGAAGAGACGGTAAAAGGGAACCGACTCGTCGAACGTGACGTCCGGAGAGGGGAAGACACGGCGCGAGGTGGGGTGGTAAAACTGCCAACCAGGCGCGTCAGGGACAAAGCCAAGGAAGACACTGGGAACAGCTCGGGCGGAGAGCTTGTCCGCGGTGGTATCGCGGACAAAGGCACGAGAACCCCAGATCCGGAACACCGACGCATCGCCAACCTTCCCCGTCCACAGCAGTGTGGGCGAGGTCTCCGGCAAAGAGACACGGGGCCAGAGGTTGAGCTGACGCGCGGCGTACCGGACCGCAAACGGCCACAGAAAATGGGGGCCAGCCGCATGGATCATGGAGGTACGAGCGACCTCCATGACTAAGCCAATGCGGCGCTCAGCAACCCCATTTTGCTGCGGAGAGGCCGGAAGCGTGAACGTCTGGCGGATGCCGTGCTCCGCACAGTAGGCTGCCAAGAGGTCTGAGGAGAACTCACCACCTCTGTCAGAGTGCAGACGCAGGACAGGAAAGTCCGACTGGAACCGCTCGCGGAGCTGGAGACGAACAGCGCGGATCCAGGGGATCAAAACATCAGGGACCTCCCCCTTGCTGCGCAAGGGGAAGACCGTGGTGTAACGCGTGTAGTCGTCGACGACCAGCAGGAAGTACCGCTCGTGGCCCTGTCCACGGACGCGGGCTGGGCCCCACATGTCCAGGTTGAGAGTCTGCAGGGGAGCCTCTGTGGGAGGGAACGAGGAGGAGTGAGGAGCGGCGCGCTGCCGCCCCTCGACACAGGGAAGACAGGGAGGAGGAGGCGAGGGTGGTAGAGGAGGCAGAGTCTCTGGAAGTCCAGAAACAAGGAAACGGCGGTGCATGCTACGAAGGCGCTGCACCGAGGGGTGACCAAGGCGGTGGTGCCAAAGGAGGGTCTGGTGCGACAGAGCGCGACACGAGCAGGGGGCCGCTAGCTGACCTGACGCAGACGCAGACGCAGCTACCTGAGGGGACACAATGGTCAGTGTGTACAGACTTGAGCCAGGCTCACGGGTGAACGTGGCCAGGTGCCGACCAGTCCGGGAGCACGTACAGTGTGTCACACGCTGACCTCCAGGGGTGAACTGGTCAACCCACACATCCTGTAGGTCAGCTCCACTCACCAAGTTCGTAGAGAACGAGGGGAGGTGAAGACCTGACAGGGAGCCAGACGGGACCGCCGGACACGGCAGGACCGTGGAGGAGTGCGCAAGGACTGGACCCCCAGAGGGGTCTGCCAGGGAGACTGCAACCGGCCGACGGAGCGGCGTGAGTGTGGTGCTGTCGCAAAAGAAGGAGCGGGAAGCACCTGAGTCAAGTGTGAAGGTGTACACGGCCTCAGCAGGCGCAGTACCAGAGAGAGCAGACTCACCAGCACCTGGAGCAGCAGCCTCACCAGTACCTAGAGCAGGAGACGCACTAGCACCTAGAGCAGCAGCCTCACCAGCACCTAAAGCAGCAGGCTCTATACCTGGGTCAGGTGGTACGCACAGGGAACAGGCACGGTCAGCACTAGTAGGCAATGCATACATGGCAGTGAGAATAGCATCATAGTCAAGAGCAAAGATATCTACTCTCTGTCCAAGCAGCTCCAGCCAGGTGGGGAGCTCAGCCTCGTCGCCAAACTCGGTACGCCAGGCGTCGCTCAGACGGGCGAAGCAGCGGGGCTGTGTGTGACCAAGCGTCCCGCAAGCCTGACCGGTCCGATCACCTGTGCGAATGACGTACGGGCAGCGAACGGTACTCAAAGACCCTCTACTCTGAGCGTACCACTCGTGAAGCTGCTGGGACGTAAGTGTCTCGCGTGGACGCCGCTGCAGCTGCAGCTGGCTACTGCCAGACGCTCCCAACTGACCAGCTCCAGGGCGACAGCTACGACGGCTACCGCCACAACCCCAACTAGCGTACCACTCACGAAGCTGCTGGGGCGGAAGAGACTCGCGTGGACGTCGCTGGAGCTGCATCTGGCCACCGCCAGTAGCAGCAGTAGCAGTAGCAGTAGCCTAGCAGTAGTAACAGAAGTAGCAGCAGTAGCAGCGCGGGCAGGGCAGGCGCGGCAGGCAGGCAGGCAGACAGACAGGCAGGCAGGCTGGCAGGCAGGCAGGCAGGCAGATGGCGCGGCAGCGCGCTAACAAGGCAGTTGCTCACCAGTGGCGGGAAGAGCAGGCGCTCGCCGGGCGAGGGGCGGCGACGCGGGTCCAGGGGCGGCGTCGCGGGGTCCAGGGGCGGCTGCACGGAGTCCAGGGGCGGCTGCACCAGGGGCGGCTGCTTCAGGGGCCATGGGCGGCTGCTCTGGGTCCAGGGGCGGCTGCTCGAGGGTCCAGGGGCGGCTCCACCAGGGGCGGCTGATTCAGGGGCCGGGGGCGGCTGCTCTGGGTCCAGGGGCGGCTGCTTGAGGGTCCAGGGGCGGCTGCACCAGGGGCGGCTGCTTCAGGGGCCGGGGGCGGCTGCTCGAGGGTCCAGGGGCGGCTGCACCAGGGGCGGCTGCTGCAGGGGCCAGGGGCGGCTGCTCTGGGTCCAGGGGCGGCTGCTCCAGGGGCGGCTGCTTCAGGGGCCAGGGACGGCTGCTCTGGGTCCAGGGGCGGCTGCTCGAGGGTCCAGGGGCGGCTGCACCAGGGGCGGCTGCTTCAGGGGCCAGGGGCGGTTGCTCTGGGTCCAGGGGCGGCTGCACCAGGGGCGGCTGCTTCAGGGGCCAGGGGCGGTTGCTCTGGGTCCAGGGGCGGCTGCTCCAGGGGCGGCGTAGCTGGTACAGGGCAGTGCGCGGCAGCAGCACTGCAGCAGCAGTTCAGGCGCAGCAGCTTGAGTGCAGCAGTAACACGGGCCGCGTGCGGGCCAGGCATGGGCTGTAAGGGCTGCGTGCGGGCCTGGCGCGGGCTGTACGAGCTGCGTGCGGGCCTGGCGCGGGCTGTACGAGCTGTGTGCGGGCCTGGCGCGGGCTGTACGGGCTGCGTGCGGGCCTGACGTGGGCTGTACGGGCTGCGCGACGGCCTGGCGCGGGCTGTACGGGCTTCGCGACGGGCCTACGCGGGCTGTACGGGCTTCGCGACGGGCCTACGCGGGCTGTACTGGCTGCGCGCGGGCCTGGCGTGGGCTGTACGGGCTGCGCGACGGCTTGGCGCGGGCTGTACGGGCTGTGCTCGGGCCTACGCGGATTGTACGGGCTGCGCACAGCAGAAAAGGGCAGGGCAGCGCGAAACGCTGGGCAGGGCAGAAACTAACGGTCGGGCAGGTGAAAACGAATGTGGTGGGCCCTTAAAGCCGCGGTGCAGATATCGGGGCTCCAGTTCAAAGTATTATAGTTTGAAAGCCGCGTAACCCAGTATACACAGGAAAGTGATGAGGCAGAGGTTTCTGCCTGCGGGGGACGGGTGTGCGGAAAAGTGCTTCGCAGTATGATGTGTGGGGGGAAAGCGGGGGAGGGCTCTGGGAAAACCTCCGCACAACGACATAGGGAAGAGCGCAGCTGGCAAACTTGAAAAATCAAACTTGAACTCAAAACAACTCGAACTCTGCAAACTCCCACGCTTGAACTAGCGTCTGACTAACTTGAAGTAAGTTCTCCCAGCTACGCAGAGCCCGCAGGCGACGATTTCTCGCGCTCCATAGTTTCAGAATGGGCGCACGAATATCTGCGCATTTTTGTACCTCGTAGTCGCCTTTCGGGTATACGCGGATCGCAATGTCCTCGGATTCCTCCGCCTACGTCCTTATTCCTCTCCCGTTCCTCCATTCCTCATGTATCTGCGGTTTAGGGCTGGAAGAGCGGTAGCGACAGGCAGGAATGGGTGCGTCGGTGGCGAGCATCGGAGCGACGATACGATTTTCGCGAAACGACGACCGCGAGCAGCGGGGCGACGATGGCGACATGCCGGGCGACGAACCGAGCAGCTGTGCGACTGTAGCGAGCACCATTGCGACGGAACAGAGCATCGGGACGACGGTAGCACGCATCGAGACGATGGAATCGAGCAGCGGGACGACGGTAGCGAGCAGCAAGGCGACGGTATCTAGCAGCACTGTTCCCAACACCCCTCTCATAAACCACGGTGCTGTGCACCCTTTCGCCCTGCTCCCCTCCCCCCTTCCCCCTCAAACTCCCTCAGAGAAAGAGAGAGGCAGGGAGAATGAAATGGGAGCAGCGGCAAGGTGCTGGCCGAGAGGCTACGAAACAAGGCGAGATGCATCCGCGGGGGGAGGCGCGATGCAACGACAGGGGGAGGCATGATGCGAAGACAGGGGGAGGCGAGATGCGAAGACAGGGGGAGGCGAGATGCAAGGACAGTGGGAGGCGCGATGCGAAGACAGGGGGACTCGAGACGCAAAGACAGGGGGCGGCGCGATGCGAAGACAGGGTGAGGCGAGATGCAAAGACAGAGGGAGGCGAGATGCGAAGACAGGGGGAGGCGAGATGCCAAGACAGGGGGCGGCGAGATGCAAAGACAGAGGGAGGCGAGATGCGAAGACATGGGGAGGCGAGATGCGAAGACAGGGGGAGGCGAGATGCCAAGACAGGGGGCGGCGAGATGCAAAGACAGGAGGAGGCGAGATGCAAAGACAGGGGGCGGCGCTTCAGGGAAGACAGGGGGAGGCGAGATGCAGAGACAGGGGGAGGCGAAATGCGAAGACATGGGGAGGCTAGATGCGAAGACAGGGTGTTGAGGGATGTGGAGACATGCGAACACGTGAAGGCATCATCTCCCTTTCCCCCCCCCCCCCCCCTCCCCGCCATCACCTCCGTTCCCCCACGCCATCTCATCCCTTCCTCCCCTAACAAGCTCTCCCTTCCCCCCCTGCCATTCCCTCCCTTTCCCGCACGCTCATTCCGCGCACCATTTTATACCTTCGACAGCGACTTCGTACTCCACCTCACCGTGACGCCCTTATATCCTTCCTCCCCATGTCCTTCTCCTCCTTTCCCCCTGTCCTTCTCCTCCTTTCCCCCTATCCTTCTCCTCCTTTCCCCCTGTCCTTCTCCCCCTCTCCCCTTGTCCGTCTCCTCCTTTCCCCCTGTCGTTCTCCCCCTCTCCCCCTGTCCTTCTCCTCCTTTCCCCCTGTCCTTCTCCCCCTCACCCCCTGTCCTTCTCCTTGTACCCTGTCCTTCTCCCCCTCTCCCCCTGTCCTTCTCCTCCTTTCCCCCTGTCCTTCTCCCCCTCTCCCCCTGTCCTTCTCCCCCTCTCCCCCTGTCCTTCTCCTCCTTTCCCCCTGTCCTTCTCCTTTCACCCTGTCCTTCTCCCCCTTTCCCCATGTCCTTCTCCCCCTCTCCCCCTGTCCTTCTCCTCCCTTTCCCCCTGTCCTTCTCCCCCTTTCCCCCTGTCCTTCCCTCCCTCTCCTCCTGTTCTTCTCAGCTCCCTTCCCCCCTGTCCTCCTTCCCCCTGTCCTTCTCCCCCTCTCCCCCTGTCCTTCTCTCCCTTCCCTCCAGTTCTTCTCATCTCCCTCTCCCCCTGTCCTTCTCCTCCTTTCCCCCTGTCCTTCTCCCCCTCTCCCCTTGTCCGTCTCCTCCTTTCCCCCTGTCGTTCTCCCCCTCTCCCCCTGTCCTTCTCCTCCTTTCCCCCTGTCCTTCTCCCCCTCTCCCCCTGTCCTTCTCCTCCTTTCCCCCTGTCCTTTTCCTTTCTCCCCCTGTCCTTCTCCCCCTCTCCCCCTGTCCTTCTCCTCCTTTCCCCCTGTCCTTCTCCCCCTTTCCCCATGTCCTTCTCCTCCCTTTCCCCCTGTCCTTCTCCCCCTTTCCCCCTGTCCTTCCCTCCCTTTCCTCCTGTTCTTCTCAGCTCCCTTCCCCCCTGTCCTCCTTCCCCCTGTCCTTCTCCCCCTCTCCCCCTGTCCTTCTCTCCCTTCCCTCCAGTTCTTCTCATCTCCCTCTCCCCCTGTCCTTCTCCTCCTTTCCCCCTGTCCTTCTCCCCCTCTCCCCTTGTCCGTCTCCTCCTTTCCCCCTGTCGTTCTCCCCCTCTCCCCCTGTCCTTCTCCTCCTTTCTCCCTGTCCTTCTCCCCCTCTCCCCCTGTCCTTCTCCTCCTTTCCCCCTGTCCTTCTCCCCCTCTCCCCCTGTCCTTCTCCTCCTTTCCCCCTGTCCTTTTCCTTTCTCCCCCTGTCCTTCTCCCCCTCTCCCCCTGTCCTTCTCCTCCTTTCCCCCTGTCCTTCTCCCCCTTTCCCCATGTCCTTCTCCCCCTCTCCCCCTGTCCTTCTCCTCCCTTTCCCCCTGTCCTTCTCCCCCTTTCCCCCTGTCCTTCCCTCCCTCTCCTCCTGTTCTTCTCAGCTCCCTTCCCCCCTGTCCTCCTTCCCCCTGTCCTTCTCCCCCTCTCCCCCTTTCCTTCTCTCCCTTCCCTCCAGTTCTTCTCATCTCCCTCGCCCCCTGTCCTTCCCGCACTTTCTCCCATGTCTTTCCCCCCATTTCCCCCTGTCTGTGTCCCCCTTTCCCCATGTCCTTCTCCCCCTCTCCCCCTGTCCTTCTCCTCCTTTCCCCCTGTCCTTCACCACCTTTCACCCAGACCTTCTCCCCCTTTCCCCATGTCCTTCTCCCCCTCTCCCCCTGTCCTTCTCCTCCCTTTCCCCCTGTCCTTCTCCTCCTTTCCCCCTGTCCTTCTCCTCCTTTCCCCCTGTCCTTCTCCCCCTCTCCCCCTATCCTTCTCCTCCTTTCCCCCTGTCCTTCTCCCCCTCTCCCCTTGTCCGTCTCCTCCTTTCCCCCTGTCCTTCTCCCCCTCTCCCCCTGTCCTTCTCCTCCTTTCCCCCTGTCCTTCTCCCCCTCACCCCCTGTCCTTCTCCTTGTACCCTGTCCTTCTCCCCCTCTCCCCCTGTCCTTCTCCTCCTTTCCCCCTGTCCTTCTCCCCCTCTCCCCCTGTCCTTCTCCTCCTTTCCCCCTGTCCTTCACCACCTTTCACCCAGACCTTCTCCCCCTTTCCCCATGTCCTTCTCCCCCTCTCCCCCTGTCCTTCTCCTCCCTTTCCCCCTGTCCTTCTCCTCCTTTCCCCCTGTCCTTCTCCTCCTTTCCCCCTGTCCTTCTCCCCCTCTCCCCCTATCCTTCTCCTCCTTTCCCCCTGTCCTTCTCCCCCTCTCCCCTTGTCCGTCTCCTCCTTTCCCCCTGTCGTTCTCCCCCTCTCCCCCTGTCCTTCTCCTCCTTTCCCCCTGTCCTTCTCCCCCTCATCCCCTGTCCTTCTCCTTGTACCCTGTCCTTCTCCCCCTCTCCCCCTGTCCTTCTCCTCCTTTCCCCCTGTCCTTCTCCCCCTCTCCCCCTGTCCTTCTCCTCCTTTCCCCCTGTCCTTCTCCCCCTCTCCCCTTGTCCGTCTCCTCCTTTCCCCCTGTCGTTCTCCCCCTCTCCCCCTGTCCTTCTCCTCCTTTCCCCCTGTCCTTCTCCCCCTCACCCCCTGTCCTTCTCCTTGTACCCTGTCCTTCTCCCCCTCTCCCCCTGTCCTTCTCCTCCTTTCCCCCTGTCCTTCTCCCCCTCTCCCCCTGTCCTTCTCCTTTCCCCCTGTCCTTCTCCCCCTCTCCCCCTATCCTTCTTACTAAAGCTGAGCGGTACCCAAGCCCCTGCCTGCTCATCGCTATCATGTTATCTCATTGCATCCCTGTCCAACTTGGCAGTGTTGTTGATGCTATCACTTTAGAGGGTCATGCTGATGTCCTATCCACCAAACCCCCAGCCTCCCCCACCCACCACCCTCTCCCCCACCCCGTCCCATCCAGGCTGCAAAGTGAGAAGCTGATGAAGCTACGAGAGCCCCAACTTCGCTGTGTCGCTGACGCGGCAAACGGTGCACAACGTGCCGCGGGAGATGGATGAGAAGCAGCTTTAGGAGGTGTTTGTGGAAGCCCTTATACCCCTTCCCCCCACCCTTCTCTCCCTTTACTTGCCTTCCTCTCAGCATCCTTTCCCCCAGTCCTTCTCTCCCTTTCCTCCGATTCTCAGCTCCCCCTCTCCCATCCTTCACTCACTTTCCCCCATGTCTTAATCTCCCTTTCCCCCTGTCCTTCTCCCCCTTTCCCCCTGTTCTTCTCTCCCTTCATTTGCCTTATTCTCACCTCCCTTTCCCCCTGTCTTTCTCCCCTTCGCCCCCCTGCCCTTATTTTAATTTTGTATGCTTTATCCCCCTTCCTAGGGACGGATGGTGGTCGCAAAGGCAGACACGTTGGGTATGAAGGGATTCACTTGGCATGCGTCCTCTAAGATTTGCATCTTTTTGTGAACACATATTAATCAAACTCAACGACATATTAATAGATGTGTAGTTATATGCTTACAAGAATGCATGATGGCACAGATAAGGGATGCAAGATGTCGTAAATAAAAGCACGACTGCTTTTCCAGGGAACCCCTTTTGGCATGCAACTTGTGCTTCACTACAGTTAGGATACAAACAGGCATGAACCTCTCATGCATAATACATCACTGTGGGTACAAAAAGGTAAATATACATTTGGTTTAAGGTAAAAGGTAGAAATATGGTACGGTATAACACGAGGTGTAGCTGAGAGACTCATGCCACGGCCACGGCCTACTGCACTAAGGAAGGAACAAAGCGTGATGACTGTGTCATGGCTGAAAGAACTAGGCCAAGGCACAGTAATCATACTAGGTTCGCGGCTCCATTATACTCTCCAGTTGCTTCGTCGCTCCATCCCATCTTCTCATGTCATAAGCTTGACCCTTTCCCCTTGTGAAAGCTTAGATGTCCTTCTGACTATAGAATTACACGCCAATACATGAAGAGTTTAGCTAGGAAAAGAACCTGGGGTGATTATTGTGTCTTGGCTGAAATAACTAGGCCAAGGCACAATAATCACCCTAGATCCATGAAACAAGGCTCTTCCATTGTTTGGCATCTTCACCCCATCCTCTCCATGTGTCGTCCCGATGGATCTCCATTGTTTCCACTTTCTCCACCCTTCTCCATGCTCTTCCATTTGCATGAGAGCCAGTAAACACCACACGATATCCCTCCTTAAAAAATGGCTGGCCGAGGGTGTGTTGGAAGGGTATGTGGGAGAGAGTTGGGATGAATAAGTCAAGTTTGCACACACTCACACACCTCTGCTCCCTTCTAGTCGTCTCCCTCTCTCTCTCTCTCTCTCTCTCTCTCTCTCTCTCTCTCTGTCCCTCACTCCCTCTCTCTATCTCCCCCTCTCTCTCTGTATCTTCCTTTCACTCTTTCTCATATATACACTCATATACTCATATACTCATGCAAATACAATCATATACGCACACACACAAACGCACACACACACATATATACATACACACAACACAAACACGCACATATACAAACACACACTCTTACACACACCCAGGCACACACTCACACACACAAGCACATGCATACAAGACACTCATACATAGGAGAGGTGTGGAAAATGTGCATGCATTCGAGAATATCAAAACCCCCACATAGAATTAGTCACATACCTAGATCACAGCCCCTCGAGGCCCCACGTCGGTGTTTGTAGAGTCACCTGCAGGTTACGCATGGTGGGAAAGGTAGATGACGCATAGTAATGGTATCGTGCGTTGTAATGGTATATGGCGCGATGCATAATGGAAACTCCAGGCGAGAATCAATAAAACATATCACAACCCACCTAGGATGAGTCTCCGCGGACGTCGGCTTGTTCTTGGGCGTTTAGAAGGAGTGCATGGGCTAGATGTATGAGCGACGCGTCGAGATGGCTTCGATTGTGGTGTGGCCGGAGCTACAGTCGGATGCGCCGCTGCGGGAGCATCCTCATGGGCATCCTCCGTGTCATCACCATCCAAGCAATTCCATTCCTTCATTATATCATCCACCCAGTCCCACTTCATAGGCCCAAGGATGCGATCCTTTTTCCCACGCCGGATGCGTGTAGCACGCCTAAGACGAACTTTGGTGGCTATCACCTCCCGATCTTGCGAGTTGTTCCAGTGTAGAACTGTCAACCCAATGCGTGGCCTCATGCTTCCATGAAAGCGAATCCTTTTTGGAGCGTACTTGCAAATCAAAGAGTGGAACGATTCGTTCATCCAGTTGCTAGCCCCTAGCACGTACGGCTTCATCTGCTCTGGACCACAATTTGCAGCCAGCCACTCTTTGAAAGCCAGGTGAGTTTTTGAACCACGCTCATATATCGCGCTTTCCGACCCCCATCCATCAGAAACACACCTAGGGACAACTCCCATCCGCATGCATCGCGTGTGATCCCCTGCCCAGTGATCCGCCGCTAATCCAATCTCCTCGGCAACGTCCTCTGCTCTCATAGGGTGGCCATCCCGCGCTTTTGCAGCACACCTAGCCATTACATGGTGAAAATGGACGCAAAATCTTTGCGGTACCGTCACCTCACGGGCCGGTGCATCAACTTCATCGTCCTGGCCACCCTCATCATCATCAACGGCCGATGCCTTCCGCTTACGCGAAACTCGGTTCACCCACCTTGGCTTCCGTGTGGCTGCTTGGGGGGGGATTTCACCTGTGTGTTCAGTTGCAGTCATTTGCGTCATGCTATTCTCAATTTCAGCCATTGCCGTCCCTGATAATGGGTGGGATGGAAAGAACAATGCGTTGTAAATGAGAAAACAACTTATAGTCATAGACAAAATGGCATAGGCCAACATGCATTGATGCGCGCAAAGATGCCATGGCACAAAAAGCCGGCAAGATGGCATAGGCTAGCATGTCTTGTTGCGGTACATGTCGTAGTGCAGTGTGTACATGTGGCATTGGCGTAGGCCGGCAAGCATGCATGATGGCCTATGCTATGGTGAAGAGATGCCATGGCACATGCCAGCAGGCCTAAGCCAGGCCATGTTGAGGCGGCACATGATGTGAGGCATTATTGCATGGCCATCAAGCGTTCGAGTGGCAAATGCCATGGTGCAAATTGGACACTGCTTAGGCCAGCATGCAATATAGCAAGATGCACAGAGGCTTTATGACATAGGCATTTGAGCCATTTAATCGCAGTATGTCATGGTGCAGAGTTATCTTAGCTGGCTACAATCGGCATAAGGAAGTGGAAGTACATGATCAGATTACAAACCTTTGTTTACACATACCCGTATCCATATCTTCGGTGTTCGAATCAGGATCGTCATCCGCGGCGGCTGGTCTCCCCCTTTCGATGCAACGTGCCGATGCCTGTAGAATCATAAATGAAGCTGCTGAACACGAACGGACTCCCCTCTCTGGATGGGGGTCGTACCCCCAAAGCTCTGCAACGTCCCTATACTCCACGTGCATGTGTTGAGTATCGTGTTGGACATCTGGAGCCACATTTAGGTCTAACAGACCAAGACTCACAAAGCCCACAGGTACAGCAGTTGAAGTGTTCGCACAAATATTTGAGGCTTCTGTCTGAGGAATCCTAGACACATCTCCCCCATTCGTGCAGGCCTCCACCCCCCCCACCGTTGCCCCCCTGGTTTCATCATCGTTACCCCCGCTTCGCCCTCCCGCCATATCACCATCATTTCCACCAGCCACACGCACGCGTATCACCTTACGCATATCTGGAAATTTGTATCGTGAAGTTGTCGCACTACAGTCTTTGTATACTATCCCTCGCTCTTTACACACATCCTGAATAAGCTCTTTCTTTGTTGCTCTCTTTGGGACTTCCTTTCCTTTCTTTTTCCATGCGATGGAAAGCCATTCCCGCAAGTGTGCAATGCTTACGTTCCAGAGCGCCTCTATTGTCTTGGCGTCTGGGACCTTCACCTCGTCTATGCGTGCATCTACCATATCCTTTCCTAGCTTTTTTGCTAGCGTTCTCCCTTTATGCCAAACATCCCCTTGATGTTGAATTCCCCTCTTCACAGTTTCAGTCCTAAAAGCACCCCCTTCATCCGTGATAACCCCCTTCACCTTAAACCCCCATCGGTCTAGGTCGTCGAGCCCCCGTCTAAAGGCCACACCCTCTAGAGAAGGGGACGCCTGCCCTTCTTGTTGGTGCAACCCTACGGTTTGCACTCGGCTTGTTGTCCGTGTGCGTGAATGTGTGTGTGTATGGAATGGTATGAGGGCATGGGATAATATATATTTCATGCTTATAATTGTGTGTGAATGTTGAGTCATGATGTCGAGTGTGTGTGTCGAGTCAATAGCGAGTTATCGCTAGACGCGTGTTACGCGGTCGTTTGTGTCTCGCGCGCGGTTTCTATTTTGTCGTGCGCGGTTTCTATTTTGTCCTGTGTCGAACGTTCGGCGTGTCGCAGGTGTGTGCAGCAGACCCATCAAGAACTCAAGGATGAGTTTGTGATGAAGAGCCCGAGCCTTGGTGTCAAGCCTCAAGTGATTTCGAAGCTCGCCAAAAGGGTACACCTCAAGATATTGAAGATAGTTACATTACTTTGTGTAGTGTAACATTTCACTTGGTGTAGGCCCTAGTGAAGGGTAGTTTCGAGACCCTTCGTGGTTGGGGACAGTGTGGCACTGTTCCACATCACTGTACCTCGGCTCTTGGGGTTTGTAGGAGCTTGGAGTCATTCCCAACTCGTAACTCTTCCTATCTTGTGTTCTAAGACTATAGTGGCTGCCATAGTACCGTTCGTTCAAACCGACGCTGTGTCGTCAATTCTTTATCAAATCGTGCAAATTGATAATTGTAGACGACGTGAAGACGCTCCAGATCCAATTTGAATCAAGTCATTTGCAGCTGTGAGCAGAACGCTATCAACGTTTGAAGCCGCTGTGCAGAAATCCGTCTGTGCTCTCTATCTTTCGTTTTAGGCACATTCAAGCCTATTGTGACTATAACAAGTGGTATCAGAGGCCCTTGGAGCAGTTTCGACAATGTCTGGACCTGAGGAAAGGGGTGGCAGAGGTGCTGGTGGCAGTGGAGAAGCTCAAGCTCAAGGCCAACCCCGTGATTCAGCCATGGCGCCCATGCAACCAAGTCTTGGCCCACCTAGGGATGAGCCTAGGGTGTTTGGGCTTGACAAGTTCAACGGTGACAACTTTGCTGAATGGTCCTTCAAGATGGAGAACATCTTTGACCACTATGACCTGCTGGAGGTGATGGAAGGAACGGAGAAGCGCCCCGAGAACGACCCGGAGAAGAGCCCGTGGGTGCGGAAGAGCGCACAAGGATATCTCTTACTTGGGCAAGCGTTGGGGAGCAGTCAGATCCGTCACATCAAGCCAATCCAGCGTGAACCAGAGAAAGGACCAAAGGCATGGGCTGCTCTCAAGGGTG